ATCTAGTTGAGTATATGGTGAAGTATGAGAAATTATCTATCTTTTGCTATTCACGTGGTCAGATTGGACACCCAAAGCTTCGTTGTTCGAAACCTTCAGGGGTGACTCCAGGTCCCTTTGGAATGGAGCTGATATCAGGGGGACTGGGGCCTCGGAACTGGCTGTTCTATTTAACAAAGAAAGAAGATGCAGAAATATGGGCATCATTAAAGAAGAAGTTTGACATGGAAACCATAGGATCAAACTCTAACCATGAAGTTCCTCCAGCTGAGGAAGTAGCAGAAAAACAGGTCACTCCAGAGAGAGTGAACAATGTGGAAAAGGATACGCTAATGGAAAGCACGGAGGTTCCACCACCACAAGAGAAGTTGCACGAAATGACTGTGAAAAAAACAAAGGAACTTGAGAGCCCTATGGATAACCAAAACCCCAATCTGGGACAGTTAGTAGGGGGAGGAGCTCTGCACAAGTTTGTAATGGGAATAGAGCTCACAATGCCCGAGAGAAGAAGCCAGAACAAGGTTTGGCGAAGACAGGAGCAAACTAAACCACGACCACAACCCCCCCCCCCCCCCAATTAGGTGACACCGCAGAAAAGACAAGCAGATAAAACTGAGGGGGGAAGGAAATCACTGCATGGATACAGACATGCAGACCAAGAAAGCGAAGATGCTAAAGTTTTACACATGGAGAAATGGATGCTCAAGCACAAGCTGGAATAAAAATGAGGGATGATGATATGCCGAACTCTACCAAGGGACAGTTGAAAAAGTCAAGACGTTACTACGTCAGACAAATCCCAATGTTGTCTTCTTAATGGAGACAAAACAGTATGAGGAAGAGTGGAAGAAGAAAATTAGAGAGTTTGGTTTCTTTGATGGAAAAGGAGTATCCGCAGGAACAAACAGAGCAGGAGGTCATTTGATGATGTGGCGAGAAGAAGTATCAGTGGAGGTAAAAGGTATGAATCCCCATTATACTGATGTCAAAATTAAAATGCAAAACTGTCGTTAAGAGTGGAGACTCACAGGGGTATATGGATGGCCTGAAGCTGGAAACAAACAGAGGACCTGTGATCTTATGGAAAGACTACACCAACAAGTTCAACTACATTGGTTGATGATTGGTGACTTCTACCTTATAACTGTTGGAAATAAAATAATTTATTTCCTTATTCTACTTTGGTGGGCACGTTGCTTTTGGAATAAGAAGCTTGGTTGGTTATTTGGAGGAATGGAATTGGATTGGTAGGGAATAATTGGGAAAAGGGAATTGGCAGAGAGATTTTTTAGAGGAGGCTTCTTTTATTGCTTTGCTTTTTTCTTTCTTTGGCTCTGCTACTCAAACGTACATGGACAAGCCTATTTATAGGCCTTCAACTCCTCCTAACCGACCTCAACATGTGGTCTTTCTTTTTCTTCATTTTTTAATCACACCTAACAACTAACCTCATTAGATTCTACACACTTCTGCACAACTAACACACAGATTTTTTTCTTCACACCAGTACACACCACACACATCACTTAGCTTCTAGGATTTTCTGATATTTTGCAGCTTTATTTAATTAAACTTTAATTAATTTCAACACTCCCCCTTAAAGTTTAATTAACCGTAACTCCGAGTAGCATCCTCAGTTTGACGAACACATCTTGCTTCAGCGGCTTCGTGAAAATATCAGCAATCTGGTCTTCAGTTTTCACATACTTCAGCATAACTTCTTTCTGCTCCACACATTCTCTCAAGAAATGATATCTCGTATCAATGTGCTTACTGCGATCATGAAACACCGGATTCTTTGCTAACGCCAGAGCAGAATTGTTATCAACATAAATCTCAGTTGACTCTTCTTGTGTCATGTTCAACTCCTTCAGCAACTTTCTCAGCCATATCGCATGACATGCACACGTTGTCGCGGCAACATACTCAGCTTCACAAGTAGATAATGTCACAATAGCTTGCTTCTTTGAACTCCATGTGAAAGCTGTATCTCCAAGAAAAAATACAAATCCTGTAGTGCTCTTGCGATCATCGACGTCTCCTGCCCAATCACTATCGCAGTATCCAACCAATTTGAAATTTTCTGACTTAGTATAAAGTAGACAATGATCGATTGCACCTTTGATGTAGCGCAGTATCCTCTTTGCAGCATTCCAGTGTGACATAGTTGGCGCCTCCATGTGTCTGCTGACCAATCCAACTGCGTAGAGAATATCTGGTCTGGTACAAGTCAGATATCTCAGACTTCCCACCAGGCTTCTAAACTCCGTTGAGTTGACCTTCTCTCCTTTGTCATCCTTGGATAATTTCAGTCCGCACTCTGCTGGTGTGCTCACAGGATTACAGTTCTCCATCTTAAACTTCTTCGGGACTTCTTTGGCGAATCCATTCTGTGAGATGAAAATTCCTTCCTCCTTTTGACTTACTTCAATTCCGAGATAGTATGACATTAGTCCGATGTCTGTCATCTCGAACTCACGAACCATTGTCTTCTTGAACTCTTCAAACATTTGAGGATCATTGCCTGTGAAGATGAGATCATCTACATATAGGCAAACCATCAATATTGCTCCCCCTTGCACCTTGCAGTATAGTGCATGCTCATGTGGGCATTTGCTGAACCCATTTTCCTGAAAATACTTGTCAATTCTGCTATTCCACGCTCTCGGTGCTTGTTTCAGACCATACAGTGCCTTTTTCAGCTTCAACACCTTATCTTCTTGGCCTTCGACGATATATCCAGAGGGTTGCTCAATATAGATATCTTCCTGGAGATATCCATTCAGAAAAGCTGACTTCACATCCATCTGATGTATCTCACCTCCTTCGGCATCTGAAGCCCACCCTTGTAAACATCCGGCTTCATAAAATAGAGACGATTAGCTTCAGAAATCCCAAAGAGTTCTGCCCAAGGCTTCAGGGGAACCCCTTGGACAGAGGTGCTTCCGGACGCCATGAAAACTCACCGCTCACAACAAAGAACTCGAAAGACTGGTCGAGGAAGAAACAGGCACCGGCGCAGATGCCGGCGCGGCCAGCCCTGCCCTAATCGGAAACCAGACTCGCCCAAATTTGGGAGCGTTTTCTCTCTCTACTCTCTAACAAATATGATCTAGTCTGATTGGTTAAGTGCTTCCTATTTATTTTAGTCGCCAGGGTTCGAATCCTACTAATGCACAAATGAGATGCAATTACTAAATAGATTTTCCTAGAATCGCACTTAGGCCCCGAAATTTGAAATGGATGTGTAGATTAATTTTTCATGTTATTGATTGTAAATGTGCTTTTATATTAGTTTATGTATGATTAGAAAGCACACATGCCTAATCATTTTTATGATAGATGAGAAATCACAATAAAACGTTAATAATAAGGAGACATAAGAAAATAGATAAGAAGAACCCCGATTTTATCTATGACATTGTTAACTATTAAGATTGTAAACTCTAAGGGAAACTCACATAGAAAACACATTTAATTTTCTTTACTAAAACCATTATCGTTTTTGTTTCTAGTTTATTGCTTCGATTCTAGCTCTTTACATTAGATGTTTATGCATTCTATTTGGCTTAAGAATTTCGCGACAGGATTGCATTTCACGGGGAGTCGTTTTTTACTTTTCAGCTATTATAAATAGTGTAGATGTAGATTAATTTTGCATGTTATTGATTGTAAATGTGCTTTTATATTAGTTTATGTATGATTAGATAGCATACAAGTCTAATCATTTTTACTGTAGATGAGAAATCAGAATAACGTTAATAATACGGAGACATAAGAAAATAGATAAGAAGAACCTCGATTTTATCTATGACCTGGTTAACGGTAAGATGGTAAAATCTAAGGGAAACTCACACAGAAAACACATTTAATTTTCTTTACTAAAACCACTATCGTTTTTGTTTCTAGTTGATTGCTTCGATTCCAGCTCTTTATATTAAATGCTTATGCATTCTATTTGGCTTAAGAATTTCGCGACTGAATTGCTTTTCACGAGGAGTCGTTTCTACAACTATTACGTAAAATAGAATTAGGTCACTTAAATATTAAGTGATGCCAAATATTTCTTCAATAAAGGTTAACAAAATGTGTTACATAAACTTTCATATTGCCTTTCCACTTTACGAACTTTTTGTTAATACCCATTACATAAAATGAACATCTATTGGATTTATGACATAAAACTTCTCTACAACTTTTACTAAATATGAACACACATTGGGTAAATATTACGTAACAAAATGAAGAATTTGAGTTTTGAAAATCTTTGAATTTATGATGGATTTATTGCATTTTTTATTTGAAAGACAACATTGTTTGTTTAATTGAATTTTTGTCATGGATTTAGTTCATTTGGTATTTGAATCTCAACAATAGTCTTTTATAAAATACATAATGCTTGGTATTTGCTTGGTATTTGGGTGACAAATACAACACCCAAATCCCACAAACAAACTACCCCTACATTTTATACAATGCAACCTGCAAAATATAATGGATAAAACAAACCAAAATTATAATAAGGTGAAGACGTGTTACAAGGAATTCTCTAAATTTCGATAAATATGTCAATATTTGTCTTATAAGATAATAAACTAATAAGTCACGATGAACTATAAATCGCATCACTCTGATGATTGGGGACGTACGTGGTTTTCCCTCTCCTCGTACTTCTCGCAAGACACTTCTGGGTGACACTCCACGTGGCACCTTATACATGTCTCAGCAAAGCACACCATGGACACAAACAGAACGCTACCAGCAACTGAAACTCAGCAGCACCTGCCGCCTGCCACTACTTGGAAGACCAAAGGGCAGTCGGAAGAATGGCAGAACCTGTCCTTCCTACAGCTCAATGCTACAAATGACCTTAGAGAAGCCCTAAAAAGTTCCTCCAACTTCTCACTGGACAAATAAGACCTCAAGTCTTTGAACAATATGGGCACGAGGCACCCTTCTCAGGCACATCGGGGAAACTATCCAAATTTCTCATTGCTGACCTAAATTGCTCCACAAACAGGATCGACCGAGCTAATATGAGCAGCCTTCAAGTCTGTGGACACCCACCATTTGTCAACTTCAGACAAGTACATTGCAGCAGAGTTCACTGCAAGTATGGTCACTGGTGTATTCTTCACCAATCACCACCATTGGTTGCAATCTCTCTAACCATTTATTCCACTCTGTTCTTCGCCTCTAATTCGTTGCTGGAAACAGAAACGATGTAATGCTGTGTGTTCAGAGACTTTCTGCTTCCCTGAACAATTCTTTCCTTTCAGGTCAGGACCAAACTTGTCTACTATCTCAGGCATCAAGACTGGAAGAAGACCATCTTTCTGCGGATTCTGAGCCGCTTGCTTTCATGGCAGGTGAGAAGGGATTGAATTGATTTCTCCCCAGGCACAGCAGTATTACGTGGGGAACCGAACAACAGAGGCTATGCAGTATGACTTACATTTTCCGATATATAGAATCCTTCAATCAGCATTCACAAATGAAACCAGGAAATAGAGGCTAGGCAGTATGACTTACATTGTTCTGGACTTCGACCTGAAAACAGGAGAACACGAACTAATTGGTATGCATATTCGTCCAAGAGTAGCTTCCTTAAATCATCAACCACTGCATGTATCGTGTAAGATTAGAGAGATTTAAGCATCCTTTTCTTCCGAGTTTCAACCTCCGGATCTCCAATCCCCGTCCTCCTCTTTCCTGGTGTTCCACTGTTGGTTATCAGTGGCAGACGACAGATTTAAGCATAAAATTCTATAAAAAGAGTGCTCAGCTAAAAACCTTTGTTTGATGGAGTAAAAAGGTAACTTAAACTCATATGACAATCCTCATGAATTTCTAAGCTAGTACTTCTTTAACAGATTTGAAAAGCCTTCCCCAAAATAAGGGGTTGTGAAATCCGTCGCTCATAGTATCATTTATCCTCATTCCTTCTTATTTAAACCAAAATTCCCCTTAACTAATAAGGAACATAACGTGATAAGCATCATTGCCAGTATTAAAAGTCACGATTTTATAACAATCAACTCCTAAAATCATACATTCAAGCAACTAATTCATAGGCTTAACACAATTACACACTTTCAAAATCGAAAAATGCATGAAATAAGCCACTACGAGAACTACCAATTCAACTACTTTAAATAGGCTCGGAGTGCATAAACAACACCTACCAATACCGCCCCAGTAGATCAACTCCTGCACCTTCGATCGTAGATTGGAATTTCCTTTCAACCCCGTCATCCTTCCTCTCCTTACTCAGGAGGGGAGCCTTTCACCATCTTTTCAGCTTCTTCCAATGACAAGATTGTTCAACTCCGTCGACGGGTTCTATTTGTTCAAAAGGCAAATTCTCAGAAGCAGAAGTAACACAAGTACCAGTTATCGAGGGAGTTATTGGTTCGGGTTCATCAAACTGATCCCAACAGTCGTAGCTTCCATCGTACCTAACTCGCAACTTCTGGTACTTTGGAATTGGAGTAGGCCAGCAAGAGACCTTAGGCTGGAACACCCTCCAACCACTAAAATGTTCAGTTAGTTCAGCGACAAACTCTAGTTGCCCTCCCCTGCTCAAATCACAGGACAAGTAAGAATAGTTACGACCAACAAAACGAGGGAAGAAGACAGTTTCTGGCTTTTCTGGATGCAGCGTAGGATCATAAAGGAACCCAGGTGGATAATTACCCTCTGATGATGACTTCACCGGACCTTCGCATACCTTCCTCCAGAATTTACAGTCTTCATTTAACCTCCAAACACTCAAAACAATCCTCGAAGAAGCAGGTCTAGTGCCCTCCTCAAACACAATCAAGTGCAGAGCACCTTGTGAAATTGAAATATCCCACCACGGATTATTAGCAGAGACTGGGGAAACATCAATATGTGTGGGAGGTATATCAAGGCGGAAAGGATTAATAGCAGCAATCAAAGGTTCAGACAGCCCATCATGGTTGCCTTGTGCTCTAGCATACGACAAATACAAAACCCCATCGCATGAAACAACACAACTTCGTTCGCGTCTGCAGTAACCTTGAAGAACAAGCGCCTCCTTGGTCCATTCTCCAGACTCCGAAGAGAACACATCTAGTTTCATAGAATTCACATCTTGGTATATGCACACCACCCGGAACCGATACTCAGAACCATCTCCTAGACCAAAAAGACTATTAGAATCTAAGGGTTCACAAACTAACCTTGCACACAATCCTGTATGCCCCACTGGTCTTTCAGGGGCCAACGGAAGTGCAATCCATTGCTTCGTAAACGGATTGCACAGCAAGTACGATCTGGCAAGTTCATCATTAGTAGGGCGGTTACCTGGTTCCCAAAAGCCACATAAAAGCAGGTCCTTGAAGCAATCAAAAACTGCGAAACGTGTCAGCTCGTACTCTATATCGGAGGCGCAATCGGCGGGCCAGGGGATAAAGCTCAGTAAGGCAGATTCCTTGTCGGTTGAGTGAAGAAGCTGAGGGTGGGTGTTCATGCTCTGGTGGTAAGAAAGGAAACGGCGACCGAAGCAGGGATCGGAAATCAGGGATCTCCATTGCTTGCATACGGCTCTGCTCCGGCAGGCGGATCTAGGATTCGGGAAACCGCGAACCAGAATTTCTGTGAGGAGATCGTCTCCCAGTTTGCTAATCGCTGGAGTAGGAGGATTTACTTCTGAAAGGAGGCGTCGTTTTCCGCAGACTCGAGCAGGGCGGAACCGTGCGCCGAGCGCCAGATCTGAAACCGTGGTGCAGCTTTCCGTCGCCATGGCTCAGACCAATTGACAGAAGACTCTGCTTTTGCTTGCGGATTTGGAAGGGGAGAGGAATTGTTTGGGTTCCAATTGTTTGTCTGGCTTCAAATGAACTAACCACCGATCATTAAGAATTCAAGATATAATAAGTACAAACTTAACCATATCCGAAAAGGAAAACATTGCTGACACTCAAATACGATTGGCATAAGGAATCCGACCGTCGAACGGGATAATGTGGTTGCTCGAAGACATTATTATCCATTTTATCTATAAATTTATGGGTAAATAACTATATATAACCTTATAGATAACAAAGTATTTATAGATAACAAAACCTAGCATACGCCCGAACATATGCTAACCTATCATACGTCCATTAAGTTTTGTTATTTAGACAATAAATTACGCGTAGTTTTTTTTTCAAAAATTACGCGTAGTTTGGGGCATGATATTATACTCTAACCCTAATGCATGAATCCCAGTCCCCAATTCACTAACCCAAAACATAATATTCATTATGAATCTTGAAATGAAAATCAACTATTTTGATTCGCCGAAATTATAAATGATTTTCATTTTAAAATTAAATGAATCTCATGGTTTAGGTTAGAAAAGGAGAGAAATGCAACGGGGTGGAGGAGGAGAGAGACAGGGATGGCGTGAAGATTTTTTACGGCGGCGACGAGTTTTTAATGTTTGTCAATCTAGTTTGTAAATCTGATTTGTAATAATCAATTTGGTTTATAATATTTAGCATTCTAGTTTGATATTTTTGTCTATCATATTTGTAATGTTTATATGCCTAATTTGTTTACATTGTAATTTGTAATGTTTGTTTTTCTACTTTGTTTAATATGTATTTATTGGTTTGTAATAAGTTCTAATGGTTTGTATTACAAGTAGTGGTATTTTGTAATGTTAGTATGCTTTGTACATAATGTCATTCTGATTCGAATATTTTTTTTATATCATGTTTGTAAGTAGGGGTGGAAATCGGTACGGTATCGGTATCCCAATACCAAATACCGAAATCCCGAATACCGTATTACATCCTGAAATCAATCCCAATCCCAATCCCTAAATAATTTCGGTATCCCAATCCCAATCCCTAAATATTTCGGTATCCCAATCGGTAACTCGGTATCCCAATCGGTATTATCACATACAAAATTAATTACTTTTGAAATTAATAATTAAATATATAAATTAGATTTTATTGTTTAATTTAGGACAAAGAGACTAAGCAAAGAGTCTTGAGTTTCCTAGAGCTAACATCTCAAGTTTTTGTAATTGGTAATCTTTAATTTGATAAATTTGAGGTTGAGAAACGACTAATACTAGTGTGAAATAGCTATATAATGATCTATGTATAATTAAATGGCACTCTTGGTGGTTGAGGGTCGTGTAGTAGTGAATGAGAGAGTCTAGTTGAGAGGATAAAATACACACTAGCTTATATTTCGGTATTTCGGTATATACCGATCCCAATCCCGTAATCCCTAATACCGAATAACAATTGAAACTCAATCCCAATCCCAATCCCACAAAATAATACGTGTATTCGGTAATACCAAATATAGACAAATTCGGTACGGTATTCGGTATCCCAAATACCGGTACCAAACTTCCAGCCCTATTTGTAAGGTTTATATGACTAATTTGTATACATTGTAATTTGTAGAGTTTGTTTCTCAACTTTGTATACTTTTATGGGGACGGGATACGGTGACAACCCCTTAAGGGGGTTGTCAGATTCCCAACCCACTTCATAGCTCTTGGATACGCTCTCTCTCCTGTCTCTTTCTTCTTTTCTTAAATTAACGGTTAAGATTAAAGGAAGGATATTTTTGGAAGGGTAAAAATTTACCACACCCAATCATTCACCCTACCATATAAAAAGAAAAAAAAAACCCTAACTCCTCCATCCTCCCTCTCTCCCGTAGCCATCACTGTCTCTCCTCCCTCTCTCTCGCAGAGCCCTCCGCCGCCACAGCCCTCCACCGCTGGCGTCGGCGCCCCTGTCTCCTGCAGCCGCCTGTCGAGCCTTCCATCGTCGTCGTCTCCGCCATCCTCAGCCTCCCTCCACACCCCGTTGTCTCGCCGGCCCGTCGCAACATCCGCCTCCCACCACCGCGGCACAATCATCCTCTCCCCGTCGGAGCCCTCTCGCCGCCCTTCATCCCCCACCACTGCCGCCGTCGCGAGGTCACCCTCTTCCCCTACCTCTCTCTCCCGTCACCGACTCCCCTTTTCTAGATCTGGTTTTTTAGTGGTACCATTTTTCTTCTGGTAGCGTACCAGTGATAGTGGTACCTACCACTTCCATAAGGTAGCTGGTAGTGGTAGAGTACCACCATCATCTGGTACCAATATAATCTGTTCTTTTGTGTTATTCTCTACTGGTATCGCTACCAATGCTAGTGGTAGCGCTACCAGTGCTAGTGGTACGATACAATATGGTAGTGGTAGCGCTGTACAGGTAGCGTACCACTAGTACTGTACATATTTTAACGCACTGGTAGCGTACCACTAGCACTGGTATATTAATTACCAGTAGACTAATGGATTGGTACACTTTCTAACGCACTGATACATTTTTTCAGGTTGCCGGAGGGAGTCTGCCGAAGAGAATTCGCTGGAGAAAAAGTATGTCCGTCGATGCGGAGTGGCCGCTGGAGAAAGGAAGAGAGAGAGAGAGAGATATTAATGTATAGGATTTAAATTTTAAAAAAATAATTGTATTTAATATGGGTTTTTAATTCCCAATATAATTAATACAAAAAAGGTAATTAATATATTCTTTTTTTTCATACCCAAAATACCCTTGGTTGTGAATCTGACAACCCCTAAGGGGTTGTCACTATAGGTGTCAATCGGGCGAGTTCGGGTCGGGTTCAGTCGTGTCGCGGGTTAATCGGGTTGCGGGTCAAACGGGTTGCGGGTCAAGCGGGTTCGAGTTGATCGGGTTGCGGATCAGTCGGGTTACGGGTTGATCGGGTTGCGGATCAATCGGGTTCGGGTTGATCGGATTGCGGGTTACAACAGGTCGAGTTGCGGGTTGTTCGGTCCAAACAATCGAGTTTTTTTATAATTAGTTATTACACTAAGATGCCTCCACAGTGAAACTGTCCCATTCTTATTAGGATCGTATCCAATAACCTTCATGCAATGGTTGCATTGAAGCTTTACCTCCTCCTCTGATTCAACTTGAGTGAAATTCTCCCAAATTTTGCTTCTTCTAGCCCTGGCGTCCATTGCATCTAAAAAAAGCAACGACAATGTTGGACTGTTGTTCCTGTTGTTGCTGCTGTTGCATAGATGCTGGTACAATCTGCAAACATAACCAATATCAACGTGAAAATGTTATCAACCCCAATAGCTATAAATTTGCTGCAGAGATACAATGAAGCGAACTTAGTCAACTTACAAAAGAAATGCATATGAGACCAAAAAATATCATAAGCTTCTCATCTTCTAAGAACACAATAGTACTGCATTACACAGTAGGATTGCTACTTGTAACAATTACCAATTTTTTTGCAGAGCATTATAGCTTACAAAGATTTATGTACCAAAGAGCAGAAGCAATCAGAATTCAGAAACCAAAAAAAATGCAGCGGCTTCAAGGACACATTTTCTATAAGTTTCTTATCTAGGCTTGGTAACAGAAATCAGTCATGAAACTGTAGTTCAAGTAGAAGTGAGACTCAACAAACTACAGATACACAATCCCAAAAACTAGCAGCCACTGAATCATCCCAAAAATCAGTTGTGAAACTATAATTTAAGTAGTGGCATGGTTTATCATAAGAACCACAACTCACAAATAGTTTATCATAAGAACCACAACCGACGATAGATCCATGAATGCTGAAAGAATTCACATTTGTATTATCTTACAAACCAGAATATTTTTCTTACTGCCCACTAATACAAAAATTATAAATAGTTATAAGGTTGAACAACTTACAATTACAACTTTCTTAAGTTTCACTGGTGGAAAGAGCTTCAAAGCTGACACCTGCAACACAAGAGACAGAGGCCACCATCTTGAGGCCACCAAGTAATCAATTAGAACTATAATAAGCGAAACACTTTTTGTGGCCACTAATTAATCAATCCCAAACTTCTAAAAACAGTTAAGGGTTGAAGGCATCGCACCAAACGGAAAGAGGGTTTTGGGGATGGTGATGAGCAACGGTGGTGGTGGGAGACCTGAAGTCAGTTTGAAGCGGCGAGGAGATGCGGGCGGTTTGCTGGGTCCAAAAGAGGGGTGGACAGAACCCTTCCTCTGCTTGGAAGGCCTCCAGGAAAATCAACCCCCTAGGCTGCGGTAACTGGAAAGGTTCAGAGCATGCGATAGAGAGGTGAAGCACGCCACGATGGACGGTGACGAAGAAGCGAACTGACGGGCGGGAACAAGGAAAGATCTGGAGAGGGATATCGGGAAAATTTCAGATATGAAGAGGTAGAAACTAGAGATGGTGGTTGGGGAGCCGAGGATTGCGTGTCAAATTAGAGTCGCCTGAAATGGGTTGCGGCAGTGAAAGGGTAAGAGGGTTTCTAAAGAGATAGGTAATCGGCAATTGAGAAGCGGCTGCAGCGATGGCGAGAACAAACAAAGTGGTGGCCGGTGGGGAATCGTCAGGGGAGAAGGGGAGGAAACAAAACTAAACTGATCGAGTTATTTTTTTCTTTTTGAAATAGAGTTTGCTTTGATTGTAGCGGTAACCATTAATCGTTTCATTTTTGGAGGGGAATTGTGAAACTGAAAAGGAAAGAAGGCGCGTCAATTTGGGAAGTTTTGGAGCCAAACAAAATTTGACGGCCAAAAGTCCAAAAAGTATTCCCTCCAAAGAGAATTTTGGAGGCAAATGAAATTTTCCCTCTTCAAATTTGGGGAAAGTTTTTTCAAATCTACATTGTTCACGGAAACAAAAATTAATCACGGGAAATAAAAATTAGAAAATAAACAAATTAATTCCCGTGACAAGAAATATATAATTAATTACAGTAAATTTTCTAGTGATGGTTAGTATACTTTTTAGTACGGTAACAGTTCCCGTGAATGAGATACCGTGACTGAAAACCAATTTTCCTGT